CGGGAGAGCGGTGCCCGGGAAGCGGGAGCGGTGCCCGCCCGCCGCCTCCCGACCGCGCGGCGCCCGTTCCAGGTACGAGCTGCCGGCCCCGTCCTCCGGGCAGAAGAACGACATCACGGCCTGGCAGGAGTGCGTGAACAACTCCATGGCGCAGCTGGAGCACCAGGCGGTCCGCATCGAGAACCTGGAGCTGATGTCGCAGCACGGCTGCAACGCCTGGAAGGTGTACAACGAGTAAGGCCTTTGTTGGCGCTGTTGAGCGTAGCTGAAGTTCTGACTTCCGTTTCTGTGTATTTCTTACGTTTTCCTGTGTAAGTTCAGTGGAGATCTTCAGAACATCCTCTGGAGTAACTGAGCCCCTTCGAGAGAGCTGTATGGGAAAGAAAAGGAGGCTGATCGGAAAGAGAAGGAGCTGTCTCTGTGGCCAGAAAATAGCCCGTGTTTCAGTACATCCCAATCTTGAATTTTGTGTGTTAGTGTTTGGGTAGCAGATAGTGATGATGGGCTTTAATTGAGAATAACTAAACGGACTAATGACAGCCTGCAAAATGATAATTCCACAGTGGAAGTAAAGATGACTTACTACTCATCTCGCTCAGCCTGGAGCCATTATTAATAAAGCTGTTGCAAAAGCCAAAATGGTTGTAGACAGTATGGCTGCAGGAAGAACCAGGGCTGTTTCAGGCAGAGAACGTTAATGTCCACTTTCGAGAAGGGTTGGCTTAGCCTTAGATAAAGCTGTAGGCAAAAGGAATGTGAAACTTGCCTTTGAGCAAAGGCAAAGCTTTGCTTAGCCTAGGAGAAGGGAGGCAGGTAGAGGATCTATTCGCTTGCACGTATGGCAAGAAGCAAAAAGAACTGTGCTTTAACAATGTTATATGAGGGAAACAATAAAAATTGGTTACTGGTAATTTTAGAATTAAAATCAGAAGATAGGTGATAAGGTAGGGAGATGTTACAACAGCGTTCTAGGCAGAATAGCACAAGCACACGCCTAACAAGCCTGAAGATAAAACTTGGTCAGCTAATGGATATGATTTTATGATACTGTCTGATAACAAGGCCTGACAATAACGCTTGTCCAAGGTTTGCGTCTTAACACTGCATATGTCACAACTGGAGTGTTCTGGCGTGGTGTCCTTCCTGCTAGGAGTGAAGAGCACAGACTGCACTGAGAACAAGTTGTCTGGTGTTTGTGTTGAAGCAGCTTGTTGCATCCTTAGCTCTGGAGAGTTAAATGGCAGGTTAAATAAGTCTGATTGAGCAATTGTATGTTTTCCTAATACTTTGTTTGCATTCTGCTATTAGACATCTGGTTCATATGATAGAACAAGCCCAGAAAGAGCTTCAGAAGTTGAGGTGAGTCATTCTTTTTCATATTTTCGTTCTGAAGCTGGAAGGAAGGTGAACCCCTCTCCTTCTACCCACCCCCCCAGGCTATACAAAGGCTTGTGTATATGCTGCTGCCATGGTCATAGGAAAAAAGGCCCAGTAATAACAATAATTAAGAAATCTGACCCTGCTCTCCCTAAGCAGTTACATTTGTAATACCTATTCCACTCAAACTGTTTGTTTTGTTTGGTTTCAGTTTTGCTTTGTCTGAACCTCTGCTTTGAACGGAATGGATTGTGGTGCGCAATCCTCTCTGAAATGCAGTCGTGTTTGCTTCTTGCTGCTGGTAGACAGTTACGTAGCATGCAGTTGTCTCAGGGAGGACGCGTTCCCTGATGTCTGTCGTTTTAAAGTGGATGCTTTAATGAGTTTACAGGGATGCATTGCTCAAGGGTGGAGGTTGTAGTACGTTGAAATGATGCACCTTCATAATTCACTCTATTTAGACAGCATGCTGTGGACTTGGTGAGTAAAGCTTTTAGATTTAGGTGACCTGCTGGCATTTCAGCCTGAAGATGGAACTGTACGCTGAGACATGGGTAGAAGGCAGTTGCATAGTGAGTCGTGTCTTTTATCAGTACTCTCATGTTTAGATTAGCTGGGATTATTGTCTTGGAAAGAATCAGTGTGGGAAGGGGTCGAAGCAGAACTCCAGTTGGGAAGGCTGAAGGAACACCATGGTGTACAAGGAGGCTAACAGAATACGAGCATTAGCAGCGTGAACTAAGAACTACTTAGAGACCAAAGTATTTTAAGTTTTACATACTGCTGAGGTGCTTCACTGAATTACTGAATTTTGTGGATGATTAGCAGTTCATCTTTGCTTTTCTGACTTTTTTTTCAGAGAGAACTAAACAGATTTCCTGTGTTCTGCACTTGTCCAGGAGCAGTAGGCTTGAACGTTTGAAGTTTTGCTTGTAGTGGAAGGGTGTTTTTTTGGTTGTTGTTTTGTTTTTTTGTTATTTTTTTAATGGCTGGGGTTTTTTTTATTATTTATCTCAGGATTCTGAGTGCAGCACTGTACTGAGATTTGTCCATCTATATGTTATAGTTACAGTCCTGGCTACACAAGTGTTTTCTGGTAGTACTTCTAAGAATTAGATGTATTTTGAAATTATCAGCATATATTACAAATTTTGAAGAAAAGAGACAAAAAAAAATGCGTAGATGTTTTTCTCCCTAGGAAAAACATTCAAGATCTGAACTGGCAACGAAAGAACATGCAGCTCACAGCTGGGGCTAAGCTAAGAGAAATGGAATCTACGTGAGTATCTAGAATTTTTCTCTTGAAACTTCCACAAGTATATCTTTTGCTTGAAATTCTTCCATGCAGAGCATCAGTGATCTTTCAGTACTATTGTAGGATGTTACTGTGTGAATACTGTTGGTCTGCACAAAGTGTTTTAAAGGATTTGTATTTCAGGTCTACGTAATAGTTACTAAGGTTGAGTGAATCAATGAGCAACAGATAGGAATAGGAAGATGTATTAGCTGCTTGAAAATTGCTTAATTAAGATAAATTGTTTCGTAAACTCTTTATCTAAATATTGGCATTTAGTGGTTTTGAGTCTAGTCAATTAAATTTTCTATGTTAAGGTTTAACAGGGTTAAAAACTAATTTTTGTCACTTTGGTTGTTCAAATTACTGTTGACACCAGCAGAGATTTATCATACTGAGAAAAATAACTGCTTTATTCAGTGTCTTTCTGCTTTCTTTGGAGCAATAATTGTCTTTGATTTTAAAGCAGAGGACTGTTAAATAAAAAAGCCTTCAATTGTTGTTTTCCCTTCCAGATGGGTGTCTCTTGTCAGTAAAAATTATGAGATTGAACGAACTATTGTGCAGCTAGAAAATGAAATTTCACAAATCAAACAGCAGCATGGGGAAGCAAACAAGGAGAACATCCAGCAAGACTTCCAGTGAATTAAGCCTCACTGTCTTACTGCAGCATACGTTAAAAAAAAACAACAAACAAAAAACGAAAAAACTTTGGAGATGCTATGTGTCTGTAGACACCTCTATTTGCAGTTGTCTAAGGTGATAAAAAGGTATTTTCATTGTTTCTTGTTTTAAATTCTAGGAGGAAGTAGAGTAGACTCAAAATGTCTAGTTCAAATGTATTGGGGCACAGTTAAACGTACTGTGAATTGTTTCTGGTTTTGTATACCTGAAGCACGAGCTCCTAAAAAACCAACCTGTTTCATGTTTTTACATTTTCCCCGATGTATTAATAAATACTGTTTGGCTGTCTGTGCGCCTTCTGCGTCGTGTTGGAAAGCCAGCCCCAGTGCTGGCAAAGAGCGAGGCTTTGCCAAACGAGCTCGCGCCATGGCACTGCCTGGCCGAGGTGCGGGAACTTGAATTCCGTGTGGGAGGCAACAGCCGTGCTGGGAAGAGGCT